CTGTATATGTCAATAAATCTTCGGTTGAAATGAAATTGATGAATCTTGTTGTAGAAACTGTCAAAATGTTCATCTGTTTTCAGTGATTGCTTTTCATTCATCTCGAAAGAGTGATAAACAATAATTATCCACGCGTGAATTGAGCTATCTAAATAAAACAATCAAAGATTGACGCCGAAAAACATATTCAATGAAAAAAGACACTTCAAACACCTCATCGAACAGGATTTCTTCCAAATTCAATCCATTCAAATACTTTGAATCATAAATATTCTCAATATACGTTCGTAAATGTTTATGATTGAATGAAGTATGATTTCGTCGTTATTCGCCTATCGAAGAGTAACGTTGGATACGGTCTATATGATATCATTTTGAAAAAAATGAGTTTCGGCGATTTGGAAAGAGCGACATTCGGTCCTTATTTTAAAACACTATGTATATTTTGAGTGAACCCAAATAATGTCTGAGTTTCTACACATACTTTCAGTATCTGTATACCTAGTTTTGTTCATAAATCTTCGAAAATATAGTTTCCCTGAATATTTTTCAACATTCATGTTTTCTCGTTAAATTTGATTAAAATGTTAATAACTTGACAACGTCGCATCTGATCTTCGAGAACAAAATGGGTTCGTGAAGCCCACATGAGAGAGATTCCGAAAATAAAATAATATACAGGGTGTGCCATTTAAAAAAACGATCGATTCTTTCACCCCGGATTCATGGTACACCCTGTATACTAGAAAATAATTTTGAAGAGTAGCTTATGAAGTCTTCAATAACATCCAATGAAATTTTTTTTCTATCCCTATCAGCCTAGCAGATATGGTCCGAGCGAGCATAAGTGGGCCACCCTGTATATCAGCATCCTTCCTACGGGCTGGCAAAATATTTGTTAAGGAACTCAAGGTGTATTTCTAGTAAGGCAATCGATTTCTGCTAGTTAGAAACCTTAACATTATCATTTGAAGAAGACATGAATTATTTTCTTATATTCACCCCTTGTAGCATCCCTCCTACAGCCTGACAAATTATTTTATTAGGTACTCAAGGTGTATTTCGACCAGGGCAATCCATTTCTGCTAGTTAGAAACCTTAACATCATCATTCAAAGGAGATATGATTTGATGAATATTGCAATCGATTTCTGCTAGTTAGAAACCTTAACATCGTCATTTAAAGAAGTTATTATTTTTTTCTGATTTTCACCCTTTGTAGCATCCCTCCTACAGCCTGACAAAATAAGGGCTATCAATTTTGTTCGGCTTCAACCTCAAAATGTGAATCCAACTGGATTTCTGGATTTTTTTTCGAATACATACATTTTTCTCAGTGTATGTTTGTGGATGTGGCTAGTTTCACACGCGTGTTTATTTCTAATGGCTGTCTGTGATTCTCACTACAAATTCATTATGGTAAACATTGGTGTTCAAGGATCTCTTCATGATAGCACAGTGTCCCAAGAGTCGTCTTTTGGAAGAGCATTTTTGTATGATAAGCTACCAATAATACCCCTTCCTAGGAATCTTCCTGGAACAAATCTATCTCTTCCTCATTTCATTATTGGGGATCAAGCATTTCCACTTTCACTGAAGCACAAAAGATTTATAATTACAGGATCTCAAGGGCACGAAGAACTATTGAGAATTCAGAGGTGGGGAATACTGAAAACTAGAATCAATGCAGATATTTCAATATGTGAGGACATAACCAGATAGAGATAGGAAGTATTGCTCTACAGGGTTGATAGACCAGGAGGGACCAGATGGAAGAATCATTGATGGTTCTTGGCGTCAGGATGCTGATTCACGTCCAATAAGAAGACAAGGATCTAATAATTCCTCGAAGAAAGCTCAAAGGAATCGCGATAATTTGTGTAATTTTTTCACTTCTTCCCTTGGTATAGTATGTCCCAATTCCATGATGTAGCTTACTTTATATTATTATACCTGTATTATATGGTTTTTTCAGCAGTTTTCTTATTCTTGTTGTATTACTGACTATACTGACTTTCATGAAATCTCAATGAAAGAGGTAAGTATCCCTTTTATTTTTAGAGAACATATATTTTTTCAAATGTTCAATTCAATGGGAGAATCAATACACTTGGTGAGGAAAATGATCTAATTCCTTGAATAACAGCCTATGGCAGCAGTCTCAAGAACAACAACAAATAAACTCAATAAATACCCTGGAAATACACATTTCATGGGAATATGAATCACACAGCCTTAGATTGAGAAGTAGGTATCACAAAAATCAAAACTAAAATTGTACTTGGAACAGAAAAATTAACTAAAGAACACTCTGGCATGGAAGAGATATCACTTTTTTTCAGTCTCCATACTTTTAAAGTATTTCACAGAATTCTAATTAGGCGCTTGCTTTAATTTTTCGGCTCCTCAGGAGTTTCAGACTACTACCGATACTTTTGCCAAATAACATGTCTTCATCCTCATCATTAGTGTTTGAACCTTTCAAAATATGTTCCATGGTTCCTAGGGTTGATACAATACTGTTTTCGATAGATGTAGTGTTATTTTTTCTTTTTTTCAATCTCTTCATGGAATATATATATACAGGGTGGGCCACCAGTAACGCCTCGTTCTCTAGAAGGCTAACCACTTATCTTCATACATCTTCTACATACAGGATGTCCCCAAAAATCACAAAACACTGAAGTTGAACTTTTCTCCATCGAACACCCTATATATTATTTCATTTTGAGATTCTCCCTGGTGAGGTGATTTCAACAATTCATCATACTTGGGGTCTAGCAGTTATAATTACTGAGATATAGGGTGTGAGAAATCGAGATTTTCCAAGTTCAAGAATTTTTTGTGTCGAAACTATTCATAATTGGTCAAAACCGCTCACATGTCCCTATCTCAACTTTTGATCAACTATCTACTGACATTTAATTGAAACAAATACAGGGTGGTGCAGAATTCAGAATCTTGATCACCCGGTATATGTCCCAATTGAATAGACAACAAGAAAAGAAAGACCAACGAAAAAAAAAAGTTCATCAAGGATTGCAAGCAAAAAATCAAAAAATATTCACAATTGAGAATAAGAGTTACCTGGCTCGGCAACTCTCAAATTTTCCCTATTACTTTACCTCATTTCACTTGACTTTTAGTTTTTAGTATGTGTGATAGTACAGTCAGTTTATAGCTACGCGATTTTGCATCACCTAAAAAAAATATTATTTGTCACAGTAGAGGGCTTTAGCCATTTCCAAATCTCCCCCCAAGGCCAGAGGAGTGTGACCTTGGGGGGAGTGACCTTGGGGGTGGCCTTGGAGGAGTGACATTCGGAGCGACCTTGGGAGTGACCTTGGGAGTGACCTTGGGAGTGACCTTGGGAGTGACCTTGGGAGTGACCTTGGGAGTGACCTTGGGAGGGATACGGAGGTTTCATCTCGGACAATTGTCGTGGTGACCTTGGGGGGAGTAATTTTCGTGCGCATTTGTACCTCTTCTCAAGGATGTTTGGTGGTGTAGTGGGGTATTCCATGTCCGAGTTTCTATAAAAACAGAATCCCCATCTTCAAGTGCATAGTTATTCCGAAAATACTGCTGGCTGAACAATCTTGTCAGATCAGTGGAAGTGCGATAAAGTGTGATATCAGATTTACGTAAGTTCAATTATTCATATATTTTTTATTCCTTCTTTCACTCGACAAGTAAAAATAGAAATGGCTCCTCCTAAAATTGATCTAGTCGCAATCAATAGTCGAATTAATGAGGAAAATGAAATTATTAAACAAATTCTAATATCGTCGCTACCACTGAATAAGAGTTTTATAATCAGGAAAATATCGTTATGTGGGACTCGATTCGGTAGAAGTGGCACCGTTATATTGTACGATGAAGAAACTGAGGTGAGCTTAAAATGTTGGTTACCAAAAAGAGTTGTAGACCTTTTGAAAGAAAGCGATGTTGATGAGATCAATTTTTCTAACGGCGTTTATACTTTAACGTACTTGGGTCAGAGTGAACCTTCATTTGCAGGTGCAAAGACGCGGGCTCTCATCAAGTTTGATGTCAAGGGGGGTGTAATTGACAAATAGTTTCATATTTCCTCAATTAGTTTTTCGATATAGTGTAGTGAAAAAGGTTTAAAAATTATATAATAATTCTTACATTAACATCATCACTTTATCGCTAATCATCATTGATTTCGATACTTTTTTTGGTGAGTGTTATATTGGCTACATACATTGGAATCAAGCATTACATTTTTTCCACCGTGATCCATTACCTGAATGTTTTGTTTATTTACAGAATTGATCACTCTTGTGCAGCACATGTTCCCGAAATGTGTATGAATTATTCTAGTCAGTTTTGGCCTACGGTGGAAGATATCAGATCAGCTGTGAGGAGGTTGAAATGTCGATTCATGGATTTGGAGCGTGATACACTACATGCAGGGAATTATGATATGAGTGTATGCTTCGATCAAGTACAAGTTCAGCGCCTCCTCAAACAAGCTGAAAAATATAAAATTGGATTTCTACTATGTGCCCGCTATGAATACAGCAACATTACTTTGGAGCAATTCCTTGAAGCAATGGTTGAAGAAGACTTGGAACAATTTCTTTATGAAATCTTCGATTTGCTACCAAACAGCCTGATTCGGAAATACCACTTGGGGGTGATTCCAGACACTGAAGATGAAGGAGGACAAAGGGGGTGAATTGGGCATCTATATAGCATTTTCGCGTAATGTGTAATGCCGATAATATTTTGATGTAAAAATAAAACAATAGTTTTTAGTACATTTGTATTTTATTGATTACAATGAATAACAATATCGAGTAGATTGAGTAATGATAAATTTCATGAAGAGAGATCTAATAACTAATGTGATGACGGTGGCGGTGTCAGTGAGGAGTGGATCCGCATCTATCGTATTCAAGGAGCACCCATCTGTATGGAACCATCTAATGCGCTATATGTCAGATATGCGTCATGAAGAATAAGTGCGTAAACCTTTGTGTTTGGTGGAAACTTCGTTTCGCGGGTTTCAAACTCCAATTTGATGTCGACAGTAGAAGTTTTCATCGCATCGGGTTGGTGGTAGCAGTCGATGATGAATAACGGATTTTTTCGGAACTCCTCAATACTCATCATTGGTTCACCCATATCTTTGCCATAGTAACTGCGTTGGAAATTTTCGTATGCATAGTAAGCCACAGCATCTAACTTTCTGTCAAAATCCAAATTCCAGCGCTCATATGGGTAAACTTCTGAATTCAAGTAAAGGCGAATATTATTCACTCCTGCGTGAATGAATTTCGTAGCGTCCTTGGATCTATCATCTGTATTATCGGAGCTTTGAAAACCGATAATGATGTATCTCGGGCGCTCGAGGCTACTAGTTGTTTTGATAGCCCAAATATCTGAAGCTGTTTCACGAATGGCCGGTAACTCATACAAATCCCACATCCTGTATGCTAACTTGATTTTTGCTGTAGAACTTTTATTCAATCGATTCAACAACTTCAATTTCTGCCTATCGGACGGCATCACATGCCTTATCTTCCATTCGATTTTGTTGATCGTCACATTCGCATCAACTTCCCCCATATAGGAGTTTTTGAATGAGCGTGCTATGATGAGTATAAGCTCCTGCTTTATATTCAGAATTCCTTTATTATAGTCCTCTGCAAACCCCATTAAAAATTTAAGCGGTAGTTTTCCGCTGAATGTATGACTGGGTGAATCTAGAATCACCTGTTTATTTTCATCGAGACCCCATCCAACCGTGTCTAAAAATTTGGTGCTTGTCTCACCATAAGATATCATACTTTTCATTGTAGTGGTAATGCCCGGTTTTCGAATCAAACACACCTGTTCGCCACCCATTTCATAACGGATTTCATCGAACAGAAATGCGAGCGCATTATTGGACAGATGGCAGGTTTTTGCTAAATCGTTCGGGATGAATTTTCCCTCGATATAAATGTAGCTTTCAGCAATATCCAGTATCAAATCTTGAAAATTGACAGCAATCCTAATTTCATCGGAATTCTTGAATGATGGAGAACCATATGGTTTGTATGTATGCTCATGTAGGCTAATTAGTGAATGATCAAAAATTGGTTCATCAAACACTTCCAATTGTAAACTAGTAGAACTTGTGGCAACCATCGTTCACTTATTTCTGATCCTTCGTCGTTTTACTCTCAACCCAATAGACTTCAGAAAATTTAGGTCGCTCGCAGAAAGCTTATGATGTCTTCCTCGACCGGTGATTTGCCCTTGACTGAATCCTTTCCCACGTTTACACTTCTTCTTATTGGTAATGTGCAGAATAGTGGGGTGAGTAGCGAGCGATACACGTTTTGATTGGTTTCCAAAGCAGAAGCCCATCTTCCAAATCGACGTAGAAAATTTAATTTAGCTGTTTCAATTCCAACTTCACTATAATCTTCTCTCCTCGGAAGTCGACTAAATGATCGTTATCATCCAAAATTCTCAGTGTGATGTTGTCGATAGACTGACGCCCTGTCGGACTGATTGGTAGATATATTATATTTTTCGACTCCTTTGAAAGTTTGTATCCTGGCTCCACGTCGACGTCGAACTCGTAAAGCGTGTGAACCTCCTCACCATTGAGGTATGCTCCAGTGGTGATATTACAATCAACCCGTATCAATCGTACCTTTATGATGTTCACAGGTAAAGTGGATTCATGCAAAATATTGGGCCGGTAAAATCCCGATTTAAAACCCAACACTTTGGCTATAGAAGTAGCAATATCTAGACTTATCAAGAATTCGGACTTGAGTTCACATTTGAGCGTATTATTGTTGGCACGAAGAGAGAACACATCATCAATATTTCGCCCATTTAGCGGAACCCCTCTTTCTATAGCCTTTTGTATTGCTCTATTGATTTCTTCTATTTCATAGGCGCCTGGTGGTATTTCAACAAGAAAGCTTTCCCCTTCATACCAAACAACTAATTTGTTATTTGTCTCATCTATATTGAGTATAGAGTTGTATGAATAGAACCCGTGTAACCCCAAACCGTAAGTATTCCTCACATCGAGCTCAATTGGTGGAAAAAAGTCTGCACTCAGGATACTACGATCTCCAGAAATGGTAAATGTTTGCGACATAACTTCTCATGAATGGAGAAAACAAACAAAACAGCGAAAACCAAAAACAAACGTCAATATATACAGTAGCAGCGTTAAGAGCATCAACCTTATTGCTGCCTGCAACAATGAAGAATGCCCGGGTTTTCGGTAGGCGAAGAATTAATATCAAATTTATTATTAGTTGCCACATTTACATCTTTCACTTGACAAAAACAACATAATATTTTTCTTGGCGCTGGTCCATCATTCACATCGATGTTGGCATGTTGGCCACCCTCCTCCTGCTCTCCACCATAATGTTCTTCACAAAATCGGTATTTGGCTATATCCGGATCGTTTTGTAATTGTTCCGGTAACTTATCCCACACTATAGCTATCTCATGTGATGCCAACCCGATGAGTACTTCTTTCGGCATATCAGCCAACTGTTTCTCACTCATTTCCAGTAAGGAGCGTAATCTTGAAAAAGCCAATAATGCATGTCCCATCCGCTTGATACTCTGCCTATCCATGTTTTGCAACTTTTATTTCACTGATGCCACTGTTAGCTGAGAGAAATTTCAAGCACAGGTGACCACACCAGACTGTGTTGAAATCCTGCTGGCGCTCATAGTTATACTTGATTTTGATGGCTTTAACCGACTTCGATCCTTTCCTTAAATATTCTAACAACTCCTCAGGAGGCGGCAAATCCCCATAGCTATCGTAATATTCAACTATCCCATTTCTCTTCTTATATGCAACCCAATGTGTACCATCACCGCGAATACTATCGAGATTCAGTATTGCTGATTCTATGCGATGTGGGCCAGAGTTGGGTAGATTATCTCTCATGAAAATACCTCGAAAGTGCGGCACCGCCATTTTATCTATATAATGCAATAGATCAATGTCTGTAAGAGCTCTCCGAGGTAACTTGGCTAGTTTTTTGAATGCTGGGGCTTGAGATAAATACCCATCCCTTTCCGATATGGTTTCAAATAGACTCCTCTGCCGACTTTTCCGAGAGCGATCGCCTCCATATGCTTATTGTGACGGTTTGCCTCAGCCAGCTGCTCCTTACTCTCTTTAGCTGAATGAATAGCTCGAGCTATACCGGCACTACCCGCAGCCAGACTCCCCAATGCTGATAAACCGGCAAAAATGGGTATGAGCGGAAGAATTCCGCCAACTTTTGGGATAGGTATGATTCGGGGTGTTTTGATATTTTTTTTCCCGCCAGCCATCTTTACAAATTTTCGAGCAGCGTCGATCGCCATTAGTGATGTTTTAGTCAAGTTTTTGGTGAGTTTTCTCTTATTCCCCATTTGACGTAGTGCTCGGCGAACTTTTTGAACTACACCCGATCCGAAAGCAATTTTTCTACACTTTTTCTTCCCTTTATTCTTCTTCTTCCTTCTCGATACTCGTCGGTTCTTCACTCCATTATTACACCCCATACCAAAGCGCCTCTTTCCCTTCATTATATTGGTAACTAACCAGGATGCACTCTTCTCTCCTAGATTAGCGTCTTTTGATTTTACTCTCTCCCACGCGGCTTCCTCTAATTTTTTATCTGCTGAATGCCTAGCAGATAAATCGGTTGTATTCTTAAGATACGCAATATCGTGTTCCTTGCAGGCTCTATCCAATTGATTTATTCCAGGATCACCGCGAGCTAACCTTTTTTGTAACTTCGTTCCAGGTCCACAATATTGATAACCACCAGGAATATGCAATTCAAACGGTAATTTATTGATCAGTGTGTTAACAATGCCTCTACCCCTTTTCTTTCCTTTCTTCGTTTTCGATGTGCTACGTTTCACTTTCATTATATAAATGAGCTTCACAACGCTAGCGCTTCTTTATATATCTTTCAACCACCGCACAATGCGGATTGTTCAGCAAAAGGAAACGTTCAGTGTAGCCAATTTTGATGAAAAAATAGGGTTAGGTATTGATACCAATCGTCGACATGGAGCCCTTTTCCCAAATACTATTCGCGGTCTGATAATTGGCCCATCGAATTGCGGGAAAACCAATGTTATGATTTCACTTCTGACCAATGAAAATGGTTTACGTTTTGCCAATATTTATATCTATTCGAAATCACTATACCAACCAAAGTATGAGTACTTGCGAAAAGTGATGGAACCGATTAAAGGGTTAGGATTTTACACGTATAATAATAATGTGGACATAGTTGAACCGGCAGATGCGAAACCTGACAGCATTTTCATATTCGATGATGTTATATGTGAAAAACAGGATGTTATCAGATCTTATTTCTCAATGGGGCGTCACAAAAATGTGGATTGTTTCTTCCTGGCACAGAGTTATTCCAAAGTTGGGAAGCAATTATTGCGTGACAATTCGAACTTCATAGTGATGTTCAAACAAGATGACATGAATTTACATCATATTTTTTCCGATCACGTATCGCCAGATGTGACTTTCAAACAATTCCAAGATATGTGCGCGCAGAGTTGGACGGATAGATACGGGTTTCTCGTTATCGATAAGGACAGTGAAATACATGAAGGGCGTTATAGGAAAGGATTCGATAGCTTTATATATCTCTAGTATGTTGGTGCAGCATGATTCATTCAATCTTCAGATACCACAATGGCCGCATCTAGTGAACAGAAAAGCACGATGACTTCTGAGATAAATCTCAAACAGCAACTTGTTGAAGCGACTGCTGCAGTGAGAAAAAAGTTCAAGAGTCTCAAGAACGAACGTATTGATAACCAAACGGCATTGGAGAGAGTGTATGAACCATTGACGAAGCCATTGAATGCTATTTCAGCAGCCGCAGCGAGAAATCAATCTCAAATCACTACTACCACATCCACAACAGGGAAAAACAAGAAACCTTCAACATCAATAATAGCACATCCTACATATCATTCCACACCGGTATCAGAAAATGGGGGAATCGGCACCACTACTACTACCACCAAGATTCCTAGAAAACTCATGACGCGGGAGAGTTTCAGTGGAAATGATTCTTTGACATCGCATAGCCAGCCCAAATTTATAACGGGACTGGAAACACCGCCATCATCATCTTCTTCTCATATTTCCAAGAGTGATGCTGCTACAGCAGTAGACAAAACAATCACAAGCGAGCTACAGGTGCAATTGAAAAAACATATAGATAATTTGGTATCCCATGATCCTAATTATGACACCACATATGGTGTTTATATTGATGAACAAACGGGAAAATTGAAGATGGGCAACATGGACATTCATTTTCCTGCAGGTCAAATTGAATTATGGCGCGGAAATAAGCGAACCAAGGTTTTTCCGGCCACCATTGAGCTATATAAGTTGATTTTTATGAAACATGTGCCAAGATCCATTAACGATCAAGATAAACGTTTATACGCAGCCCTATTGGAGAATACAAGGGCACCATATAGGAACTATGATATTAGGGAAGGGTTAAATGATAGCACACAATCCAAGAAGAAATATCAGCAGGTGATCAAACCACTGATAGGCACACCATATAAAATGAGGAATCAACAATTGCACCATGGTGAAAAAGGAGGAGGAAGTATATTGCAACCAACATTACCCTCTGATAAACTCGCAGGCAAACAGCGAAAAGAGTATGTTTATTGGAATGATATCAAAGAATTGGTGGACCGCCTGCGATTATTGTGGAGTTCTAAAATGGCTGGTCACACCGGTCACGATAATGAGATAATATCGATAATAGAAGAATTGCGTGAAGAAGGTATCGTGTATTAATTGGCGAGTGATTAACCTA